GACTGTGCAGGGCTCTGTGGTGGGTGAATGATGTCCCTGCTGTGCCCCCCTGGGCACTCTCTCCCTCCAGGTGTGTCCTGGGAAGGCTGGAGTGTCTTTGTTCCCCTTCATGGGTCCAGGCTGGCAGGAGCTGGGCAGGCACAGAGGGGCAATGCTGCCAGGGCTTTCAGTGCCTGCACACCCTGGGAGGAGGAGGGGAAGGGTGGGCAGGGATCCCCAGCCCTGAGATCTCCATTTCTGGGGCTGTGGGCACAGAAGGCTTTGTGGGAACACGTGGGATGCTTGGCTGGGAGAGGCCGGAGATGCAGAGCTGGAACTCAGTTTGCTGTGGCTGCATCTTGTCAGTGTGGCTGCCATCCTCTCTCTGAGGCAGGAAAATGATTCATTTTCCAGCAGGGATGAAACCCCCATTCCCCTGGCCCCTGGTGCTGAGGGTGGGGGGCTGTGACCATTCTTTGCTGGCTCCAGCCCAGAGCTTGGGGGATGAGCATCCATCCTCTCCACTCTCTCCACTTCCCTTCCTTTCCCATCCAGCCACAGCTGTGCCCAGTCAGACACAGCTCCTGGACTGGCACAGAGCAACCAGAGAACCACGAGGGGCTCAGGACCCTCCCCACTGCTCCCTTTCTTTGGCACCAGCAATGGAAGGGTTACAGGGAAATCCATCTGTGCAGAGCTTCTGGAATTCCAGATCCTCAGTGTGCTGCAGAGAAAGGCAGCAGGAATTGGAAATATTTGACCCCAGTGATGGGGTGGCATTGCTGGACATGATTTTGGACGTGGTTCATGGATCTGGGGGGGTGAGGGCAGCTCTGGGTGCTGTAGCCTTGGGGTCACATAAGGACACCCAGGGAGGGCAGGGATGCTGCTCCAGCCTTGTCCTGTCCAGGAAAGGGTGGATTTCTCCTGGTGGATGCTCCTTGGGAGCAGCCAGCCCTCCTGCATCACGTGGAGGCTCCTTCCTTGCCCTCCCACTGCTGCTCCTGTCTCTCTCAGAGCTCACGGTGACTCCTGTGGTCTCTGTGTCCCTTGAGGAGCTGGCACGGGGCTGGCCATGGGGACAGCAGTGTGCTGTGACAGCTGTGCTGTACTCCCCAGCTGCTTCCTTCACCACCTCTGATCCCTTTGAAATCATCTGCCCAGCTGAGTCAGTTCAGGCAGGCAGTGCCAGGTGAGGAAATGCCTGCTCAGGGAGCTGAATCGGCTCCCTGCAGCACCAAACGACCTTTAGACCAAAACTAAAGGAGTGAAAGCAGTTCCCTGCTTTTCAGCTCATCTTCCTCAGCCATTGCTGACCTGTTCCAGTGCCAGGTGAGAAATCACCTCCTGCAGGGAGTGGCTGCAGTGCAGGTGCTCTGTGGACCTTGCCCTGCTCAGCTCCTTCCTCCCACACCTGTGGCTCCTGGGGGTCCTGCAGCTGGAGAAATTCCCTTCCTCATCCTGGCAGCTGCATTTCCAGTTGGGAAATGCAGCCTGGAGCATTAGGATTGCCTAAATGTACCCAGACCAGGCCATCAACATGGCCTGGATCCCCAGCATGAGCCCCAGCCTGATGGAACACACCCTTGTTAGACAGGGAATAACCTGGAGTATCAATGAAAGCACTTTCCTTCTTTTGGGGCACTTTATTGACTTTGCACCCCTGCAGCAGCACAGGAGCCATTTGGTGACCACTGCTGCAGCTGCCCCTGGGGCAGGGCAATGTTTCAGTGCCACAGTGGGATGGCTGCCACCTCCCTACTGGAATTTTGTGTGCACATACTGGGCCCCGTGCTCCTGGTACTCTCCCTTTGTCATCCAGGTGTGCTGGAAGGAGGTGAGTGAGGCTGCCATGGAGCCCCCAGCCCAGGCTGCTGAGGCCCTCTTGGGGCTGGCCAGCACCTCGATGTGCACTCCTGCTCCTCGGAACAGCAGGTTCAGCTCCAAGCACATCCTCTCAGGAAAGCCAGGGAACATGGAGGAGCCCCCTGAGAGCACGATGTTGCCCAGCAC